CCTATTGCAATAAAACGGCAATTTCATACTTTAACCCCTAATATTTAAAAAGGATTTAGGAAATATTTGTTGAAGATAATATTTGTGTTAAATTTTTAATAGTGTTAAATTTTAAAAACGATTTATTCTAAAATGAATTTAACAACGTTCTACCGTTCTCTTACAATATATTAGGATCGATTAGGAGGTAATAAATAAATAAAGAATAATCACAACACGGTTAAAACAAAACAATGTATGATGAATGTATTCTATGTTTTATATTCAGTGACAACACAAGTTACTATTTCACCTGTATTACTCTACTCGTTGGTTACTATGGAAACCTAATCTTTACAGTAGGAATAAAACACAATAAAGGCTTCTTGCCATAACAAGACTTGCTAGTTTACACACTATGGTTTTGGTCATAGTCAATAATCGTCTTTCGTACTTAAAAAGTGAGAATTCAATGCTTCATTACAGTTTCTTGGAAACTTCTGCGCCTTTGTGTCCTACTTTCTGTACAATCGGTGTTTGGTACTGCGATGTGGAATTTTTCTTCAATAGATTCTTGGTTTCATAAAATTCAACTATTGTCTCAAATAATAATGTGTGTCCTTGCGTTGGCGTTAGCAACTTTTTTTAGAAGCTCGAAGCCCAACGATAAGCGCGAACAAGCGGCTTGGCGGTTGGAGTGCGAGTTAGGGGTGATAGCGGACCCCGATTGCCCAGTGGACGGCGGCTGGGCCGCTTGGGAACCGTGGAGTCCTTGCCGCTGCTCTTGCGACAGCGTAGGCCACCGCCGCAGAACTCGCCGCTGTATCAACCCTATACCCTCAGAGGAGGGCCTCCCCTGTGATGGACACGAAGAAGAAATACAGCAATGCTATGTATCAAACTGCACAGTTCAAGATTTCCGCAAAATAATTGAAGGCGATGATCTGCGTATCGAAGCCTTCAAAGAACTAGAAGCTGTCCCAGCCCTCATGGAGCGCTGTTTGCAAATGGAGTGTCCTTACGAAACAGTGGAAAGCGTTCTTTGCAAAGACAATGCGTGGCAAGTGAGTCCTGAGACGATTTGGAATGCTCTGCAATGCATAAAGCACAATGTTGGCTGCCCTGTGATTGGAGAGTGGAGCTCTTGGGGCGAATGGTCTCCATGCGGAGCGCGTTGTGGAAATGGTGTCCGTTGGAGGTTGCGTTACTGTGACACGCCCAAACCATCGCATGCACACCTGTTATGTAGAGGCACCCCGTTGGACGCAGAGGAATGCAAAGGAGACCATTGCGCCGTAGACCTGGAGGATATTGGAAACGACAATGGACAGTGGAGTGATTGGAGTGAATGGAGTGTGTGCTCCGTAAAATGTGGTGCTGGTGTCAGGCGACGCCAAAGAATTTGTCGCGATAAATTTGAGTCACGTGTTTTGGGTAATTGGGGAACCCACTGTGTTGGACAGCATGATCAGTTTAAAGTGTGCGAAAATGAAAAATGTTTAATGGACGGTGGATGGTCAGGTTGGAGTCAATGGGTCCCGTGTTCGCAGACTTGTGGCGCAGGGCGAAGAACTCGTACACGCTCTTGCACTAGGCCCGCTCCGGCTGGAGAAGGATTACCTTGCCCTGGGCCTAAAACTGAAGTTACTTCTTGTTATTTAATTCCATGTGAAGTTTATTCGCATAAAGTAACAATTCTGAACGGAGAATCTTACTTGGAATACAATTTCCATAACAAGCGGTCGGTGCTATTCCATTTTTACGTACGCTTCATGCCCCTATCACCGCGTGGTACTTTGGTGCGACGAGGTTCAATTCACAATCCTCAGGTCCGGCTGAGCTTACAGAAGTGGCATGTTTGCTTGGACGCAAGCGGTACATCAAAAAGCTGTACTCTGCCGCGTATTTGTTCACCTTCCATGGTCGAACCCGCCACTTGGCATACATGTTTGATTACAGTAACCAGTGAGGCGGCGAGCCTGAGACTAAATGATGCTGCAGTGCCAATCAAAGCCATATTCTCTTGCGATCCACAGTTGCCTGATGAAAAAGTTAACATTTTTGTTGGTGAAAAACTATACGGTCAACTACAAGAAATTGTTTTAAACTTCATTCCATTGTATTTATTTATGGAACGGCGTCAAAGGACAGTGCACGATTTTTATCCCAGTTCTGCCTCAAATATAGCTTACGAAATGGCGGGATTAGAGGAAGGCTTCATAGAACTACAGAATGATCAATATCTAAGAATGCCTTGCTTCGACGAAGGAGACGATTGGCTACTAGAAATCACATTTAAATCAAAAAGAGATACAGGGGCATTACTATTTCTCTGGAATAATCTCGATGATAGTTGGCTGCATATAGCTTTGCAAAACCAGAGATTAAAGTTAAAAGTAACGTTACCTGACTACAGGTCAGAAAGTATCAGCTCGACAGAGTGCCCATCAAATCAGTGGCTCGATGTGACCCTGAGATTAAGACGAAACAGTAACACGATTGAGGCGTCTATTAACTCTGACGAACGCCTACACATCGTCTTTGATGAAGAGAATCCTAGAAAACGCCGAAAACACTTATCGAATAACAGCCATCGTGTCAAAACTGAAAATCTGTCCAACACAACTTTGCCCAAACTAGATAAAATCGAACACAAACCAATGTCGGTATCAATATGCCGCGATGAATTCTTTATTGGTGGAGTACCAAAAGAAGTAGAACAATTAATAGATGATGATTACAATAATTTTCATGGAACCATTGCATCAATAAGCATAAATGGTGCGATGCAAGATCTTCAAGCTGCTAGCGTTGAAAGTTGTAAAGAAGACAAGTTACAATTGTCGTCAAAGACCGCCAGCGTGTCTGGTTCTTATCACGAAATATTTTGGGGCAAATCGAATCTATTGAATCTTACTTGTCTTCACGCTAGATCTACTCGATCTCCACATACAGCACGTTGGCTTTTTCTCGACACAGGCGTAATGGGAGTCCTCCGAAATAAAACTGTACACATAGTGGACGGCGGTAAAGTGCTAAGATTGATTGCATCCGCAGGTAACAACCTGAGAGGTTTCTATACGTGTCGCGCGCACAGCTACAAACGCACACGTAACATTGTAACTTATGGAGTGCTCGGAAAAGTTAAATACAATTTTACTAGTCCCGATACTATAACTGCTATAGCGATGGTCACAACAATAGCGCTGGCACTGGGCACTCTGTCGTGGCTTATATTTGAAGTAATTAACGACTTACGTAAAGGATATGGTTTTTTTCGCGATGTTCATTTGTCTCCGGAAGAAGAAGCTGACGCAGTTTGCGCTTTCATAGATAGCCATATTCATTTGATAGGCTCAAAAAGTGCTGCAATGGTGGCAAAAGAAAGAGCGCGGAGGAGAGGCAGGCTCTTGGCCTCCAAATTTAATTTTGGTGCCCAGGAGCCGCAGGGCATGATGCAAACGGAGACGGATAGAGAGGCACAGTTAAAAAATACAATGTCGACTCAAAGTGAGCCGGATAGTATACCTTCGCTGCTTGATACCTCCTTTGCAGAGACCTCTCACGCTGCATATAGGCGTGACCCGTCGTACATGAGTTCGCCGCGACACGGTTCTAAAATAACAAGCGCAAGGACTAATTTTGAGTTGTCGTCGTCGGAGTTTGAGATTTCTCCGAGAGTACTTTGCTCACAACTTCTGCTGGCTAAACGCTCCTCGCGCGAGAAGTTGGTATCCAGGAGGTACAAGTCCCCCCGGCAATTGGACAGCCCGCGCTTGCTCAGGTCCAACTTACCCACAATCAAATCTTCCACTTTTGTACAACATTCGCCGGCACACAAGATTCTTGAGAAATTCCAACAGCTCAAATACGATGACCTTTAAATGAATGTAAATATAACTTAATTTTATTTAAAAATTATGTACTTTGTGCAGCTACAGAAATAAAAGACTGATTGAAGCGATTCTCCATTTATTGCACCAAAAAACTACAGTAATTTTACTGCTTCGGATTATTGAATACACGTATTAAAATGTAAACGTTATTGTAATAAGACGTATCAGAATAATGCACATAATATGGCACTTTAATCGGTAATCAATTTATAACTAGTATGTAATGACAGAGATATACAATACACATATAGTGGATAATACCTCCTAAACTCCCGGAATGATTAATTATAAAAAAAAAACAAACGAAAATAATTCTATATTTACTTAAAATTACAAAACTTTTGTAATCAGTACACTTCCGTAGTAAACTACTCATTGCATCACATCAAAATATCAAAAATCACACATGAAAAATATATAAAAAATACAATAATTCGGATTTTTTAGAGAGTTATTATCCACTCTAGTGTAATATACTTGGAGATTAGGTAACGTATTCTGCCTATTCAATCAAATCTCTTTTAATAAGTAATACAATTGTAATTAATTATTTTAAAATATTTAGAGAAACCCACAATCTTAAAATGCCTAAAATGTCTTTTTATCGTCTATAAATATCGACCTTAATAACTTATACTGTTGAATAAATACCATGCATTAATTTTATTAATGAATTGAAATCCTTAACTGCTACATTTTAAATTAGTATGCCGCGTGTCGACGTCGAACTTTCACTACCTATTATTATTCAGTCACTTGAGTTCATATCTCTACATATCCCTATAACGTATTCGCCTTCCCTTCCTGATCCACTCGCATAATGACGTCGACAGACGGGACATAACACAACGAATCTACCTTGTAGTTTGCAACTACTAGTGCAAAACACGACATTCTTGTTGTGACAACACCACGATGTTCAAATTAATTACTTCCTTATACACTTACACAAATTCTGATTGACAAAAAAAAAATCTGACTAGAAATTATGAGCTTCTATAACATCAAAATGTACATAATATGTAAAGTGATTCAAAGCCTGACAACATATATATCTTTCCTATGATCACGCAAACGCCCAGTGTGCATTATAATGAAAGACGTTTTCATTATAATGTTTTCATTCCATTCAAACTTAGCGCTATATATTCCATATCACCATAGGGTATCTAGAAAAATACGAGTATACTTGCTAGAGCCAGAAACATGAAAGTACATTATATTAGTACATCGGGCATTGGGCTTTTTCCCAATGTAGTTTGCTGGGTCTTCGGAAGGTGAAGGAACTAATAACATCGAATTGTAAATTTTCTAAACAAAAATAGTAAGAGCACATCAAGGTTGACACTTTGAACTTTGGACCGTTCTTATCGAAAGCGGCATAGAGATGGGTTTAAGTCTTGAGTGTAAAGCTTGATGTGCTCTTGACCCGTACGATCAAAATAATAAAATCACCAACAAATTTCTCATGTCAATCAATCCTAAAACTAATTCGTTACAACAGACGTTTGCTTAAATAATAAATAAAAATAATTTAAAATTAATATCAAACAATAATGCTTACTACTAATGGATATTGATATAAATATTGACTGTACAACATGTGATAGAAAATAGTCGATCATCAAAACACTTACGCGATTGTCTCTAATAGAAACACACATTTTGATATAGCTGCAAAATTCAGACGTCGAAACCTGGGTTGTTGATGCAGGTTTTTTTTACACATCAGCGGATGCATATTATCTATTTAAAAAAAAAATGTGCAAAATGTACAGCTCTTTATTGACTCTACATGAAAAAGCTTTTTTAACGATGTTAATTTTTTCAATGATTTTGTGACTTTGTTATAAAAAAAAATCAACCTGCATGAAATCAATCGGCCTGCTTAGCTGGATCATATGGAAATTTTCTTAAAGTTAAGGACGATGGCTGAGCCGCTTTTTGAGCTATGTAATTTATGTTAAGATTACAAATTTTTTATGAAACATAGTTACAGACATAACATTATTATAAAAAATAAAGGGCTGTTCTTGACAGTCATCTTAAAGTCACAAACTATATTAAGGGCAATATATTTAGCTTCTATAACAAGATTTCGGTTCATATTAAAAATTGCCATTCAGGTTTTGAAACTACAGTGGCCCATTTAGCTCTTGCGGATTGCTTCAAACAAACCAATGTTTAATTACGAGAAGCCCCTGAAGTCCCTTGCTCATTCTTCTCACGGTAATCTGCCTGTGCGAATGAGCAGTAGAGTTTAATCAATATGTGTTAATTACTTAACCTATGAAATAAAGATTATTTAACTCTGAATAGTTAGGATCACTTGCACAACATAATATTATAATATTCCGCAGTCTCTGCTTTGCAAGTTAATCTTTATTCTGTTACATGTTGTAGTACAATACTTACAAACTATTTACTATGTAATAATTGTGACCTATTTTATATATAAACGATATTCTCAATGGGAATGGTACTTATGACAACAGCGCTTCTTGTTTAATGTCCTTTAATGTTATCCTTGTAAATCCTTGTTTGTGACGTTTAATACAATTTTAAAATTGTCGTTAAAACCTAAAATATGGTCCGCTGAAAAATTTTTCAAAACGGCGCTTTCACCCTATCTAAAAATACGACGACGACGACGATATATGAATAAATCACTGTTTACTTATGTTATGACCTTCAACACCGGTCTGCTACGCTGCCCTCTTTGTAACTAACGCATTTGCATTTCACTAACTCTCGAAGTTTCGAGATATTGGCACCTAATTTTTTCGCCACCTAAAAAAATGTCAATTACAATACAGCGTATTTAACAATTAAACTGAACCTAATTAAAGTATTTAAAAATCGATTAGAGGGGTTGCAGATCTTGTTTCGCTGATCTCATATATTTTAATAAATCTATTTGGCTAAAATTCTTGATTACGTTAGTTATAAGAAGGGCAATATTTATGGCTAGCTGATATCGGATGTGGAGGGTTTGTGTTTTCTTGAACTGGGTTCGTTTCTTGTGACCGAATTGACCAGCCGGGCCTAGTGAAGAAAGCCTCTTACTTTCTATAATCAGATTTGTTTTCTATATTTTTGTAAATTAGTTTTTTAAAGGCCAGTCGAATGTTTCTAATACAATAAAAAGTAAATTCTCAGTCTGGAATTTAAACTGCAAAATGGTTCCTTAAAAATCAGTATTTAGTTGAGTATAAGCTTTTTAGTTAGCTCGTGCGATTCAGTCGTTAGACTCAGGACTTTAGTATCTCCCGATTAAACTAAAACAATGTCAAAAAGTAACCTCATCTGGGGTCTGGAATTTAAACTGCAAAATAGTTCCTTAAAATCAGTATTTAGTCGAGTATCGCACGAGCTGACTACAAAGCTTATACAAGCTTTGTAGTCAGCTCGTGCGATTCAGTCGTTCGATTGAGAACTTTAGTATCTCCCGATTAAACTAAACCAATGTCAAAAAAGTAACCTCATTTGGAGTTTGGAATTTAAACCACAAAATGGTTCCTTAAAATCAGTATTTAGTTGAGTATAAGCTTTGTAGTCAGTTCGTGCGATTCAGTCATTCGATTGAGGACTTTAGTAATTCCCGATTAAACTAAAACAATTTTAAAAAAGTAATCTCACTGGAGATTTCTCAGATTTTTCATTTTTGAAAACAGAGTTCATTATCTAGTAGAAAGTGATAAAAGCAATCACAAATTAAAATGGAAGCATCATTGACTTACAAATAAATAGACGACGGGTCTAATACAAAAACCACGAAAAAAATGTCCCAAGTCAACCTATTTAAACGTAGTGACATGTAAAGGAATATGAAAAAGTTAAAACGTTGAATTTAAATTGTAATTGTAAATTTTATTGTAGAATAGACACCGAACATTTTATTATTAATATAATCACGTGAGAACATGGGCCTGTATACAATTGTTTTTAAACAATCATCCTGATGATTTAGGTGATTTTGTGACAGGCCAACATTCTACTTATACCAATACCATATATGTATGTACTTGGTGGTAGAATTGACAAGGAGCAACTTTGTCTGTTTAAGGGTTACCCTTTAAGTAAGATGGTGTCAGAGGTAAGTTTGAGAAACATGGTCCAATCGACTTTGGTAGTAGGGTGATTGCTTTAGTCTTCGTGCTGGGCCTTACGCTCCCTTTGTTTGATTGATGATCTCCTGCGACGTAGCATGCATTCCTCATCACAGGCCGCGAACTGCTGGTAATACATTGCCGTGAAGAGCACCCCGAAGCTGAGAATGGCCGATACGAAGAAGTTGAACATTAAGCGGATGTCGGAGCTGTCCACGTACACAGTGAAGAGACGGCCTGCAAGATATGTAATAATAATATCTTTTTATTACCTCCCGATTCGTACTTGAACAAATTGACAGGAAGAAAATTGTGTTCGTGAAAAATCGGGAGCCGACATCGTAGTTTCCCGCCGCCCTACCAGTGGACGCTGAAAAGTCCTAGGGCGGTAGGGGGCTCGGAGGAATTGGGCGTTGATGCTGTCCAGGGGGTGCTGATGCTACCGCATTTGAAAAAAAAACTTGAATTGTCTATATAATTCAAGTAATTTTAGTAGCAGTAGAGCTCGTTGTGAAATAGTTTGTCCAGGGAAGTACCGCCTACTTACTTGTGCCGCCAAACAGTAAGGTCACCATTACTGTGTTCCGGTTTTGAAGGGTACGGGTGCTGGTGAAATGTCAACTTACGTCTCAGGGTGACTGACGCAGGGACAGTGCCCCTCAGATCTCTGCGATTTAAAGCTCTGAGTGACATGCAACTGTCATGGACAGGCGTGTAGTTTACCATCAGGCGTACGACTTGTATGTCTTGTCACTTGATTTTATAAAAAAAAATCACTATATATACAATACTACTACTAAAAATTGTATACACTATGTATACAATTTTTTCTCCTTATGATTTGTTGTGTTAATATAAAAATACATGTTTTCAATTATTTTTTGTCGTGACGGCCGTTGAAATTTTTTTATCTTTAAAAAGTTTGGTACCCTATGGTTTACATCGTCCATTGATCGCGCTAACCACGAAAATCCTTTGCCCAAAGACAGGCAATTCCTGTTCCCTGGCCGTGCGCATTGAGGAGATGATTTTTCACCAAGACAACCGCACACTGCTTATAGTTACAATACAAATCAAATTATAAGAAATACAGAGTGCTTATCATAGTGATTTGTTTTTAAAAAAATGAACATTCTTTTACATTTTTTTTAAAATTTATAGAGTGCAATGTAAATGATAGGTCATTTACATTACAATCTATAAATTCGTTGATTCTGTTAAAAGCCAGATTATCAAAATAGATTTTCTGTATGAATGCGGCCATTTATTGTTTGTCAGTCTATTATTTTTTGTACTTACTTCTTATTTTATGGTTTTTAGAATACTGGTGATACCGCATTAATTAACTTCTATAAGCTAAGTGAGCTTCATAAATAAAAAAAAAATAAAGAATACTTACAGAGATTGGTAGCTATAGAAATGACCCATGTAGCAAGCGAGACGTTGTCGGCGTTGGCAATCTTCACAATGCCGTAGATGTAAGTTACTTTAGCGAAGCCACTTAGCGGGGTGCACAGGGGCTGTGATATGAGAGAATACCATAGATTACGCCCATTGCATTTTAGGGTAAATTGGAGAACTGTATTAAAGTAACCAGTACTTCGACATTTACTACGCGCTTAGTTATAACAAATTCGTTGTTAAAACGTACGTATATTAATTGTTTCTAACCGATTGTGTTTTTTTTTGTATGTGTATGTTACGCGATTACTCCAGAATTGATGAACCGATTTTGATGATTCTTTTTTTGTAGGAAAGATCTCAGTATTGGCCCCATTTAAATTTGAAAATATTCCACCTGTAAGGGCAGCAAAACGAAGAGATAATTTGGATTCAGTTTCGCGCACTTTCCGGTAACTTATTTTACTTACGGTACTTTATTTCAATAAAGTAATTCCACGAAATTTTGAGATCGTTTTTGTGAGTGTGTGAGAGTCTGTGTGAGCGGTTGTGAGCGAGTGTGTGAGTGTGTGAGCGTGAGTGTGCGTGCGTGAGTTTGCATGAGTGTGTGTGTGTGTGTGTGTGTGTGTGAGAGAGAGAGAGAGAGAGAGTGTTTGTGTGAGTGTGCGTGTGTGTGGGTGTGAGTGTGTGTGTGAGTGTCAGTGTGTGTGAGTGTGCGTGCATGCGTGCGTGCGAGCGTGCGCGCGTGCGAGATTGCGTGCACGCCTGCGTGCGTTCGTGTGTGTGTGTGTGTGTTTTTATTACATGATTTGAAAACACTTACCACCAGATATGATAAGATTTCGCTTGGCAGAACTTCCATAATGAAACTAAGGACGATGGCCACATAGAGCATTGCAGCCAGCGGGACAATGTACAAGTTTATCATACGCTTGTACAGGAGAGTATAGTACAGCATCACAAATATTTGGAACAGGATGATAGGGTACTCAAGGTACGTCAAAACACCATAATGGTTTGTATAATTGTAGAGTGTCATTATGGTGAATCTGGAATGAGATATTTGTATATTTTATTTTCGAATGACCAGAGTCTAAATTTAGTTTAGAATAATGTTGAAGATCTGATCTGATCTGATCACATGATATACTAATTATACTCCAACATATTACAATAAATTACATACCCAACAATTTCCATCAACATAGCTTCAATATATATTCCTTCAGTCGAGTGCTTGGCCTTGATATTCATGATTTGGGGCACCTTAAGGAATAGACAAGATAGAATGGTGAAGGTGCTAACACCATTAGCTATATGTACCGTTAATGTATTGTCCATGTTGATGAAATCACGGCAGTCTCTGAAATAAAATATGCAATGGTCCAAGCATTAAATTTATCTGAATAAACAAAAATATATACAGTCATTGTAAGTCAATGTATATACACGATGAAATCAATTCAAGGTGCACTTTTCAATTGCCTTCCGTTGCAATAAAAACCTTAGCTTTTTATGGGTTTCGGAAATATAGGATTCCACATTTTATCCAGAACTTTGGACAAGGTTTCCAGGTACACAGCCATGCAGCAGAGCATATACTTAATGTACGTGAGTATCTAACATCTGCAACAATTGTGATTGGTGTAGGTAGGTATCACAAAGCGCACTTAATTGACACAATATGGTAAACTAATACTTCTCCTTGTACCTTATCACAGTCATATTTAATATACAATTTCTGTTAAGATAACATGATAAGCTAACAATACATTCTGATACCAGTGTAACGCTGATAAAAACCTAGTTAATTGCATTGTATCAAAAGAGCTAGTATGAACAGAAAATATTCATTCATCTTATTGTAGGAGTTTACACACACTGGCACATTTCAGCCAAACACTAGTTAAATACCCAAAAAATAGTAAAAATTAGACGTTTCAAAAGGCCCCGGATAGGATGGAATCCCTCCAATTTTTGGATGAATTGTGTTAAAGTACTAACACACCCAATTTGTATTATATTCAATAGTTCTCTCCGATGTGATGTGTTTCCATCAGTTTGGAAAAGAGGTCATTTGGTCATCATCACTGGTGATCTACACTGATTTTGAGAAGGCTTTCGATCGCGTAGATCACATCATCCTCCTCAATAAGCTCCAAACTCTTGGAATAAAGGGGAATTGCTTAGATGGACGGAATCATATTTAAGCAATCGCTCGAAGGCGGTTACAGATCGGACGTCGTGACAATACCTAGTGGGGTGCCTCAAGGTTCTCACCTGGGGCCACTGTTCTACAATGCGGACATATATGACATTGTTAGTTATATTAATTATTCTAACATTTATTATGCGCTGACGACAAAAAAAATTTTTGTGTAGTAAAAGCTTACAGCGACTGTGCAAAAATCCAAAAAGACTTAGACAACTTATACTATTATTACAGAATGAATAAAATAAACAATTAAAAAGTGTCAATGCGTACGTTTTACCCGGAAGCTGAAGCCTATTATCTGCTCATATAACTTTAACGGTGTGCTAATCAACAACTCTTCGGCAGTTCGTGACTTAGGGGTACTTCTAGACCATAAAATGGTACTATCTAATCATGTTTACTCCATAGCTGCTAAAGCTTTTAAAAATCTAGGTTTGGTTCTACGCTCGTGCAAACCATTTAAAAATATGTTTACTTTAAAGTCCGTTTATTTTGCAAATGTTCGCAGTATTTTGGAATACGCGAGTTCGATCTGGTCACCGCAATATGCGATTTATACTAATCGTTTAGAAAAAGCGCAAAAAATTTCTGTTAAGCATCTCACTTATCCATCTCGTAAGTCGTTTGATTCGTATCAAGAAGCGTGCCGAAATCATAATATTCTCAGCCTTGTAGATAGGCGTAAATTGCTAGATATGTGTTTGTTGCATGACATTGTGAATGGTCATATTGATTGTGCGGAGCTTGTGGCTGGTATCACCTACCGCACGCCGGTGCGTCGTACACGTCTCACGCCCTTATTTTATTTACCTCCGTGCTCGACAAACTACGCTATGAACAGTCCGCTGACTCGTCTTGCCAAACTGTATAATTCACGTTTTAGTGAACACGTTTTTTATCAATCTAAGGCGATATTTAAAAAAGGAATCATTAGCTCGCTTGAGGTATACCAGTGAATAGTCCTATATTTACTTACTTATTTTGAACATATCGATTATTATTTATATTATGTATCTAGATTAATACTCATCACAGTAGTAATGGTTTAAATTTAAATTCAAAGCTATACATATTGAAATAAAAATAAAATTTTATTAAAGTAAGTTCATATGTCAGTTTATAATAATTTGTACAATTATACACATACAGACACATTATTTTTCTCTCTAAATCACACACACACACACATTGACACACAAGCACGCACGCACAAGTTCAGTTGTTTTGTTCTTGTCACAAAAATTAAAATAATTGGTTTCATTTTATACTTTTCAATACAGGTTGAGTAAGGCTATATACTTTCAAGAGCACGTCAAGCTTGACACTTTGTACTTTGAACCGTTCTTATCGTAAGCGGATTAGAGTTAGAGTTACAACTTCAGTGTCAAGCTTCACATGCTCTTGACCCTGTACTAAGAAGATGTTAAAAGGTGTTAATCAAATTCTTACTTATTTCAATATTAACATTACAATCTCATTTTTTATGTTCTGCTATGTATGGTGTGACTTACAAATACACAAATACTTTTTATAAAAAGTAATAAGATATATTTTATAACTATGCTAAATACCTTGTGGTAAAAAAAATTAATTATTTGTGTCAAAATCAAATTGCAAATTTATTGAAAAGTTGCAATTTTTAAGTTAGAATAGTGTTAATTGTTTGTGTCGAAATATCATAATATGCTACATTCGACTAGATTATCGACGCCACGCGATATCCAATTTCCCCTACAAAAACTCTAATTTGTTTTTTCCAATGTGACAAGCAGCCTTTTCTTGAGTTCCCTTACCATATTATAATAATACTTATTAGCTAACCTTCTTTGCACTCCGACTAAAAGACAACAATATTTATATGGCAAGTCAATCCAATTGAGATTGAGTTAAGGTTATTAGCAATTGCTGATGCAAGCGAAAAAGGCAAATGGTCTTGGTGGTAAAGTATATCACTAAAAGATTAAAAACTAAACTACATGTGCGATATCCTATAATTGGTAGTATCATATAATTTGGTTTTGTTTAAATTAAGTTAGGGAGTAAGTTGTTCATATTTTTATAAACTTTACATTCATAAATATTTTTCTAGGCCTGTTTCGAGCCCAATTGATTTAATCATTTTTTCATCACTAGTGCACAAAATATAATAAGGGTTGTTATTTGAAATGGTTACATATAATAGGTGCACCTTATGCATGTACACTAATTCAAATGGCAGAAAGGGTATAAAAAATCCTCCAACAGACCACAAGATCGAAGATGTCAAACCTATCATTGAACTGCAGAGCTAAAAGTATCACATTAATGATAGCTATTTATGAAGTTGCAAGAAGAAAGTGGGATTTTCAACCTTATTCAAACCAGCACTTAAAATAAAGCACTAGCAGTAATTAACAATTCGCTCTTTTAATTATTAATTTCCCTAGAAAAATTGGAATATCATTTCGGCAAACAGCCGGTGGATAAAGGCCTTGGAATATGGTACAGAACCATTCAGAGTAATCCACAGTGGGTACTGTAGTCTAGGCTCTACTCTATGAGTAGAATCACTGGCTGAGTGAATAGATTCATAATTAGAATGCTTTGAAAAGGAACTAAGAGAAAAGAATGGAGCATCTTGACATTATTGATTTGTAACCCAAAATGAGTAACATGTAAAAAAGTGAAATAAAGTATATTTTAAAGATTATTCCAGTTTATATTCATAAAAGTACCTCTCGCTACGCATCTGAGTCAACCCTCATTACAGTACCCTGGTATGAATCTATCAAGGAAATATCTTGTATCGGTTTTTAGACTGCGTTCTGGTCACATTCCAACCAATGAATTCTTTCATATGATGGGTTTTAAACCAACCTCATTGTGCAATACTTGCAATATAATAGAGGATCTGTATCATGTATTGGCGGAATGTGACCATAACGTATCTCCGAGAGGTACAATGTTTGAGGACGTATGTTTATGCAATGGACAAATTAATTGTCGGCTCAGAGAGCCTGTATGTCTTGGCGCTCTACACTTGTACAAGTTTTTGAACATGTCTCTTGAGTAGGGAATCCAGTATACCTCCCATAGTAGACATAGTCGTAGACATAGTCTCCCAAGGTGGCTAAAGCCTCAATAAAAAAATAGATTAAAACAAAAGACTAATTTCAACAAAAACAAATTGTACCCATAGAGGAGCTTCAGTACAATAACTGATAAAACCAATTATTTTTAATTTTGTCAAGTCTCTTTGAATTTGTCACATTTGTCAGATCAGTGCATTTAAAATGTATTTTGAACGATTTAGCAGTTGCTGTTTAGATTGGATAAATTACGCACAGAAACGTACATAAACTACTGTTCTGCATTAAAAAAGAAGAACAATGCATAATGTGACTTATTGGTTATAGTACTGACTCTCCACGATTATAGGATATCATCACACTTCATCTTAGCAATAAAATTACAAGATTCTTTACCACCGAGACAATCCGCCTTTCTTGCTTGCCTGCACATTGCTAATTACTGTAACTCAACCTTAATTCGACAGACTTGCCATATAAATTTGTGTAAAAGCATTTAGTTAAGAAATATAGATAAATTAAATTGTACAAAATTTTTGCCAGACAACCACATTTGGTCTCAAACTAGGTATTTCCCTGTACTATAAGTACCAGAGCAACGAAATCCATTCCGGAGCACTGCCGTCCACTAACTAAAACTGGCTAAGTGACAAATAACCATTTTAAATTGCAAAAAATAGAGCACAAAATTCTCTTTCAAAAACAGTAAAATTAGCATTGACTTACAATTATATGGACGTCGGGTCCGCGCTAAAAAGTGTCCGAACTTATAGGGCGTTAAAATCGTATACAGAGCGTCATTCACGCTTTAGTCTTCGTTTGTTTGACTGACAGCAAAGCAAGCAAAATTAGACAGCACTGCGATGTTACAATTTAAAAGCTTTTTCATATTCCTTTACATGTCACTATGTTTAAATAGGTTGACTTGGGACATTTTTTTCATGGTTTTTGTATTAGACCCGTCGTCCATTTATCAGTAAGTCAATGAAAATTAGTTAACGTTTTTGACTTATCTGAACTTACCCTAACGATGCATAGCGGAAATGTCATTAAACAATTTCAATATTCTAAAACTGGGTTTTGTTTTTTAATGTCTCAAAAAATATTTTGTCACTTAGCCGAATTTTAGTTAGCTGACGGCAGAGCACTACCCAGAACAATCAAACAAGAAACAATTTAGAAAAATCCATTATCCAAATTTGTTTCCCGAACTACCTCTATACTCATCCAACACACACGAAGTCATCAAGAAGTAATAAGCAAAGAGAGTAAGTAATTGACGATACAAACTTGGTATAGTAGATCCTCTTGCCGCCTGATCACTTCTACCAGTAATCGCACAAGATCTCTCACGAAATGTAATAACATCGGCGTTTAAATTAAATAAGTCGGCAGGGGTCTTCCATGCGCACTCGATCAATTGTCCCGCCACTTAGCTCGATTTGCGACCAAGGTCGGCCAACGTCACACCTATAATATTATGTGCTGTTTGATTACTTACCACAGCAAAAGCAACACCGCTGAAACGGCGAAACTCGCAATCACAGCCAATTACAATTGAGATCTCAGAGAATATGAGTCCCCACAACGATGTACCACTACCGGTTTATGTTTGCGACACATTGTTATCAATTAATACCTATAGATAGCAACAAATAACTGTGACTTTATTACAGAAAATTTTATGTACTACGCTAACAAAATTTGCAGCATGGGGATCATACCTAGATTGTACACTCTGATGGGGATCAAAAAAATCGATGACATTCTTTTTCTTTCTGGCACTTTACTTAAGCTTCACGGCTAGTGTTTGAGCCACTGCCGCAAATCGGGGAAACTTATTTAACTGGAAAAAGGAAAAGAAAATGGAAAAATATACGATTTTGGTACGTACGCACAAAGGAATAAGAAAGGAATAGATATACCTACATCGCATCGCATCGTTTGAAAAAAGAAATATACGCGATTAAAATCCGGAAAAATAGTATCATTTCCTATGTACAAAAATCGCAAAATCTAAGAATTCGATATATACCTACAACAATCATCAGAATCAGCGACTAAAATCATTTTTGCGTTTTGCTTTTTGTTTTAAGTACACGAAAAATTTTTCCTGCTTTTCCATTGACTTACAATTATATGGACGTCGGGTCCGCGCTAAAAAGTGTCCGCACTTGTAAGGCACTAAAATCGTATACAGAGCGCGACACTCCGCTTTAGTCTTCATTTGTTCTACGGACAGCGCGATACTGCGATGACATAACAATTTAAATTTCGAATAGGTTGACTTGGGACATTTTTTTCGTGGTTTTTGTATTAGACCCGTCGTCCATTTATTTGTAAGTCAATGTGCTTTTCGGTAAAAATTATGGCAACAGGTTATGATAATATCTACGTAGTGTTTTCAATTTATAGTCTGTTCCAATCCATTTTGAACAAAAAGTAAACAAACCTGTTTGGATAAAATTCTAAAGCAATCAATCGAATAAGTAACACTTTCACGAAAATTTCGGCTTGATATATCATTACTTTTTCCAACAATATTCATTTGAATAGCATCGTAAAACCGTATTTGAAAAATGGTAGTCCAAAAGTGAGGTTATTATTCATCTATACTTCTATGACTTGCCTATGGTTGCATAGTGCTGTTCGAAAAAATCATTCGGTTCAATCAATTAAAGTTTAGTAATCGATCATTACATCGAGTATTTCAATCGCAATCGAACGAGTATCTGAGTGTAAGGAGTTGAAGGACGGTTTGAATTGAAATTTTAAATATTTTATATAATACATAGGATTGTAAGGAAAACCGCTAGTATGACTCAATTGAACAAATCGATTCATTCAATTATTTAATCGATGTGTTAAACGAAGTATAATTCCACACCGAAAATGATAAATAATAATCTCAGTACAGACTACTAAAAAAATCGACCTCAAAAGTACATGGAATTACATCTATTTGCCAAATTCTTTTGAAATCGGTTACAGGAAAATGCACAAACCCGGGTTCATTCCTTAGTTCGCCACTATACAGGACTTGACAGGAGATAATAAAAATCGGTTCTCATTTAAGTATATTGAGAGAGAAAACGCCTTAAATTGTAGAATGGCAAAATCAACCATTTAAATAATTGCTCCTTATAATAAAATAAAGGCGCTTTTTATAAAAATGAATCTTCATGCGTGAACAGCCACCCTTAGAGGTGGGTCTTATAAAAATGAAATTGGACCACTATGGAGGTACCCTCTTTCAACAAACTCAACAAAAAAAGAATCATGAAAGTACGTTTACAAATACCGGAGTTATCGTGTAAAATACATACAAAAAAACTCTTCCTTTTTTGAAGTCGATTAAAAAAGGCAGATTATGTTACTAGGATCCGCATCTTGAAGATTCAAAAATCAGACACCTGTACGATCTTGCAATTAATCAGAGTCGTCAGCGGCGGCGTCGAGCAAAGAGACGAATGTGACATTTTTGTAAAATTAACTCATATTCAGTGATCTTACAATATACAAATCAGTACAAAGTCCTAAAAAGACCGACCTCGTGGAATTACATCTATTTGCCAAGTTTTATTGCCATCAGTTACTGGAAAGTGCGCAAAACCGGATTCGTCCCCTGGTTGCCATCCCAGGTGAAACATTTTCTTCAAATTTAAATGGGACAGCTTCTGAGGTACCCTCTTTCCAACAAAAAAGAATCATGAAATCAGTTCACAAGTTATCGCGTAACATACATACAAACAAAAATATAGTCGAATTAATTTATAATTCGAATTTAAAAAATAAAATGCTGTTGTGTGTATTTAGGAAATGCACTAATTACCGCGTTAAAATAAATAAAACACGTAGGACAAAATATTTACGATATTTATTTTTCTGTTTATTCTAAGAATTAACAGTTGCTAAATGTAGACAGAATGAGCGTATTCAGAGAAAATTCCTATCGTACTAAAACTATAAATTCTCTGGAATTACTAACGAATTACGACTAAAACCGCAGACACTAGTGACTGCTGACTCTGGAAGAAAGGCGTATGATGATGGATATGGGTCTTCTTTTTGACATGTTACGAGTGCGACTCGATTGCCCTGAACTCCTATAAAAGATCTCACTGTCCACACCGAAGCGTAGTACCAGGCATACATCACTATTTTCTGTTCCTATTCATTCTACAAATTACGACATGAATAGTGTCCTAATGCGAATCATGCGTGCTTTTAATCAAAAATTTTTGGACTGGATCCGTTTGTAGGATCTAAGCACACTTTTGAAAGGAAATTGGTTACAATCTTATTTGAAAACATTTAAAATATTTGAATTTAAATTAACTGAAATTTAAATTCGAATACAGTGCGAAGTACCGCTTACAGAATTGGTTTATTTATCTTGTTTCGAGTCATTTTACCTTTTTTTTTAAATGCCCCTTTTTTGTAGGTCAGGATTGCACTCTTCACGTGGCTTTACCTTTTTTGATTTATGCTTATTATTGTAGATACTTTTGTGTATGTTTTTTTTCTCTTTTTGAGGTGTTAACTTTTACCTTACTTTTACCATAAGTTAGATATTTAAGAATTTATGTGGACAACTGTAATTGGCGCTAACTACCTAAAAACATTCAATGTAAATCGTTATTAATAGCTGTTATTGTTCCGAATAAAATAAAATAAAAAATAAAATAAAATAGAAATAGTAAATTATTTCTGTAGCGAGTGCATTAGGGATACATGAGATCCGATCATAGATTATAGATGCAGATACAATCATTATAGGCAGTAAAGTCATCAGTTTGGTAGATGACTGACTGTATTGTAGTCTGGAAACTTCTTTATACGGATTTGTAACGTGGGTATATCTTACACTATACCAGACTTTACAATAATTTCTTGCCTGTATATGAAAATACACACAATCAAGCAAATAAGTAATTTTTTTTTCTATGCACTACAGCGTTCCGTTTTTGAAAGGTAAATTGAAACTGGTGAAGTTACAGGAACATAGGACTTGCTAACATAAGATGACGTGAATCTTTGCGACTTAAAGATGTGGCACTACAACTGTCATGGACAGGCGTGTTTCTTACTATTAGACGCACTACTTCTTCCCGTCACTATATAAAAATTTGGGATGACGATGAACGAGGTCAGCATTGTCATTATTGTTTTAAGTACTTAATTGATATTGTGCTAATTACATTAATAGATAAATACTTAATTGCTTTTTTTTGTTTTTTGGGCGCATAGAGATACTACGCATCAGCCTTGTTCTGCCGCCGCCGCCGTCAGTTATATTTTTCAATTTAATTTCTTTAAGCTCGGTTTTGAGTTTTTGCTACATGCGCACTTTCAACGAACGGCGGCAGTGTTATATCTTGTATTTACGAAAATGAGCTGCATCGTGTGTACTGAACGCGGTACCAACTCTCGAATGACTTAGCTTTGACGACTCGGTAGACGCCCCGTCACATTTACGTAAATGAGCTGCATCGTGTGTACTGAACGCGGTACCAACTCTCGAATGACTTAGCTTTGACGACTCGGTAGACGCCCCGTCACATTTACGTGGCGCTTCTCTCTTTGAAAAATATGATTAGGTACTTGTAAGTAGATTTCGTACGCAACTGTAGCAAGAATAATGTAAACTATGATATTATAAAAACCGACCAAGCGCGAGTTGGCGCGAAGGACCCTGTGGGAAAAGTTAGGCGACGTTATCTTCAATGCGTTTCTTAGTGATAAACGTTTTTGACAGGATGACATTGGATACTTGAATCTTAACTTTTTTATTCAAAAGTTTGATTACCCGCTTTCGCTGTGTTCGTTCCCGCGATCTCCACAATGATAACTGAAATGGATATGGAAATCCTCGTCAAAACGAATCATATAAGCCCAATGACAAGGTACTTGTTTAAACTGCCGAGGAGGACAAATTACACCAAATGTACAAAATTTTATTATGAACAACTATGAATAGTTTTCGAGCAAATTAAATGACATTTCGTCTTTGTTTCTGGTTACATACTCGATGTACATTACCTACCCATGGTATTAGGAGTAATATCAGCATCGCGGATTGGCATCTTGATTATGAAATAGAAATGATATGATGACCAATTGCAAAATTCGGACTGCGGTATAAGTTGCCTAATTACACCTGCTGATCGCTTATGAAAATTCAACGTGATCAGTCTTGAGATCATAAGCAAGTGTTAGACCTATGTTCATTCATTCATTCATCTCAGCCCGTTAAGACCCACTGCTGAACCGTCCGACCATATAGCAGGTGGTCTGCCTCGAGGACATCTCGCTCCTGCCGGGTACCACACAGTGACCTCCTTGGTCTATCGGTCGTCGTCTCGCGTAGCAACGTGTCCTGTCCGTCTCCACTTTAGGCTCGCGATCCGCGTACCGACGTCTACGACTTTTTTTCGCTGTCGTAACTCCACGTTGGGTTTACGGTCGACGAGGGAAATGCCGAGCTTGGTGCGCTCTATTGTCTTTTTTGATACTCTATTTTTGTGCATGTATTCCATTGTGAGTGGCCATATCTCGCCGCCTTAAGTGAGTATAGGCAAGTATGGTAAAGAGAGTATGAGTAAGACCTATGTAATTTGTATAAAATTGCTAATTCTACCTTGGATTCTCAGCTGATAGAACACCTGTATTTTAGGGTACTGTACTCGGTCTATGTGGATTCCACATGAACATCGGCATATGTTCCCACTTTGACATTTTTTCCGTAGTTTTAAGTGCTTCA